ATTATAACTTTACTTTAAAACTAACCCCTAACCCTAACCCCTATCCCTAAAAAATGCACCCCAAAAAATTTTATTTTCGAGATTTTATATTATAATTTCATTTTGATCTGGATTTCATTATGATCCCAAATTATTACTTACCGTTATTGTTACATATGCGTTAAGTCTCAGCCATGCGGCAATTAATTGATTGGCAAAATTTTTTACACTAGTTTGGATCATGGGCTTTATGATTAACCAATAAGTTGAGCCGGGTCTTTAAAATCACTGGAAGATCACTGGAAGTAAATCAATAGTGTCATTGGAACTTTAGGTTATTGATTTTACTTCCAGTGGCCTTCAGTGACCTTCCAGTAACAACACTGTTAATATTTATCGTTGTGCTTAATTTTTATTAAAGATTTTAAATCTTTATACAGTATAATTATAAGTCGACACGTTCTCGAGGAATTTGATTCTATAAAACGCTTTACGTACATAAAAGTTCGTTATATATCCAGAGTCGACTGTATATGAGAATTATTAAAATGACAGTGATAATTATATCGACAATCCCATGTCTGATTAGCGAATGACAAAAAAAACGTGGATTAATATATTTACAAGTTTCTAACCAAGCCGGGATTAGGAAAAAAAAATCGGTGGATCATGTCTGATCCTTCAACTAATTTGATTCGTGTAACTAATTTTTTGTGTAGCGGGAACCCTATGTACTGGTTCTAGTTCCTAAAGGTGGTTCGGACCTAAACAACTTCTTGTTCCGCTCATTACATAACTTTTTACTTGACTATACGGAACTCGCATGTTCGCATACAATCTCGTCCGCTTATAGAAAATAGCGAATTTTAAACTAGTTACGAAACAAACATCATACCAATGGAACAAAGCAATACCAATGCTAGAAGAGGTAATTTGTCAAAGACGATAAAGTTGTAAAGCTACAATAAGATATTCGGAGTAACATGGAATATCTGTCTAATGGTACTCATTAGTGATTAATATTGATTAATATTAAAATTAAATTTTTTTTCATAAAGGTCCAAGAAATGACAAACAAGGTGATGAGTTTGAAAAGAATGGGCAATTTTCAGCCGAAGCACTCGACATAGCAACAAGATTCCAAAAATTACAAAATTCTGTCGTTTCATACAAAAAGAGAAATGAAATTCTTGAGAAAGAAAAAGGTGAATTAATCAACAAACTTTATGATTTAAACTTAAAAAATGATCAGTTGCAAACGACTTGTAATGAATTGAACGCACGTTTCGATTCCGAAAAAAGGAGATGGCAACAAAGGGCTAATGAATCAGATCTTGAGGTTCAAGCGTTAAAGAAACGGCTTATAGAATTAAAAGATGAAGCATCAAGATATCAATCTGCACTGGGTGAAGCAACCAATGTTCGGTTTGGTGATGATGATAGTAATAATCAGGTGCAACTTTCAAAATCAATTGTTGAAATGCAAAATCTATTAATGGATTTCACTACGGTTAAAGGAAAAGATATTACGATTAATGAAAAAGCTGCTTTTGACCTCTTGACCGTGTATAACTGCAAATCAAAAGGAAAACCAGTGTTAAGTGCTGCCTTACAACGAAAAACTTTTGAAGCATTGATTTATTATACAAATAAATATCTTATGCGACCATATCGACAAAAAACTGTACAGCCATTATCACCACAGCAACAAACCTTTCAACAACTAAATCAACATCCTTATCCAGGTCAACAATATCAACCATATCCACCATATCAACATTACCCACAAGTTCAATATAATCAAAGAAATTCAATACCTCCTCCTCCTCCTCTTGAAGATGACGAGCTTGAATCAGAAATCGCAATCCAAATGACAAAGTTATGTAGTTTAATTAATCAACTTGCTGAAACTAGAAAAGGTTCTGATGAAATCACACGTGTAGCACCTGTAAAAGTCCGACAACAAATTTATGCAGTATTAGGTTCACGAGGGTTTTGCAAAGATAATCATTCAATCATTGAAAATTTAGCAAATAAAATTTTAGAAACTACAGGAAGATACCGGAAAATTAGTGACGAAAAGCAAATAGAATTTTATAATAAGGCTTTAGAAGTGGTTAAGTAGAAAATGTAGATTTCATTTTAAATTATGATCCACGACAATAATTATTACTAATTATTCCCTATAATGAATGAT